CCTTCTTACAGAGATTTAAATTTCACCCCTTAATACCCCCTTTTTCTATGTTCTCTAGACCTTTATGAATTTTTAAAAAAGGAAAATTCAAAACTTATTAAGTTCACTAACATGATCCTGTTTCCAATGAATAAATTTCAACTTAGGTCCTCTATCCAAAGCAAACTTAAATCGGTAACCATGAAGTCATAGTCAAAACTTTAAAAGATTTCATGCTTCCATATGATAGAAGAATCTGACTTCCTTAGATGCATTGCATTCATCATTTTTTATGGCTATGATGGGGTTTTTGTCTCCCTTAGGTGCTAAGACTAGAACCATGCAATCAGAACCCCAGTCTAGCTGATGTCTGTAAACCCCTTGTTGAATGTATAATTGATTGATGAATAAACAAATGAACAAATATAACTATAGCTCCTTACCCTTCACGTTTCATTTCTAGTTAGTGCAAAGTTATTTTCATACCCTGCTTATGGCCTTGAAATCTGACAACCAGTCCCAACTGGTTTACTCCTACATTAGCATCTCTTAATTCTTTTGAAGGGGGATTTACTATGCACACAAATTTTTCAAGATTTGCTTCTCCAGTTTCCCTCAGCTCCCTGTTATGTAGCAATTACATAGCTGCTTAGCAGCTGCACCAGAGATTTAAAAAGTGGAATGAGTAAACTTTGTTAAAACATGTTTATATCCATGGTAGAAAACTTGATGAAAGATAAAGCTAAAAGCATTGAGAAAAATGGAATTTTCAAGATTATCTGGATTTAATTGTCCACATTCTTTTTCATTCCTATAGATAAATGAGAGTTACCTGTATCTAAAAATATAATAGCAATGACTTTACCAGGTTGTTGTGAAAATAACATAAGACTATATGTGCAAATTACATAACATATTATAGGCATTTGATATATTAACTTTGTTTAATTTGAATTTATATAAATCTTTAAGAACTATCACTGTTTCCAAATATTTATAATTACTCAGATATGGCAAAACCAACGGGTAAGGAGATGACAGTCATTGAAAAGGTAGCTTGTAGTCCCAGTCCACAAGAGGAGGGGCCATGGCCACCCCACAGCAACCACAAGAGGAAGTACTAAGATCAGTTAGAAGGCAGGGGGTGGGGGCAAGAGCCTTTATTATGGTTTCCCAGGAAGGAACAGAGTAGGTGGGCTGAGCAAATTTAGGATCAGCTACTTTGGATAATTTCATTGGACCCTCAGTATAAGAACTGTGAGTAATCAACAGGTACCTGGCCCTGGGATAATGGGGCAGAGGACAGTGACCCTGAGGGAGATCCCAGGGGAGAAGGCAGGGCAAGGGCTATGGATTGGGTGGCTTGCATGTGAAATTCCTCCTTAAAGGAGAGTCTTTCAGTGTCTCAAGGAACTGACTAATTCTGGCAGAAACAGTCTCTCCAGAGTCAGCAAAACCCCAGATGTCAAAGCAACAGAAATACAGAAAATAAAACGGCATGATTGATACATTCCATACACCCAACTTTGTGCTAGAACCTAGTGAGTAAGTGAACAAGTCCAGGTCTTGACTGTGGAAAATAGTTACATTCTTGTAGGATAGAAAAGTACTGTACATGAAGATCTAATTTCAATATAATGAGAAAGTTAAATACCATAGGTATGATAAAGACAAGGTGTTGAATCCACTGCTGCTGAAAATGCATTTATTTAATCTTTCTGCCAGTATGAAGATATATTTCAAGTATTTTATTGTGCTTACTATTTATTTTCTCAGCCTTAGAGCTATCAATATTAGTTTATAAATCATCTTAAAGTATTTTTCAAAATTTAATTCTGTGGAATAAAATATTCTAGAAAAGCATTGTGTAACATGCACATAGTATCTTAGGCCCTAAATGAGAAAAATTATCATGGTCAAATTAGTTAGGAAAGGCTGGATTAGATAACATTAAACAAATTTCATTTCTGAAGGACTGCTCAGGAACTTTAATAAGAAAACTGAATTGCAAACATCAAAGACTGCTGAAATATATTATCTGGCATTTTTCAGACACATTAGGCCACAGATTCCTTCACTGTTTTTTCATGGGAAGCATATTCTAAGCAATGCGTGAGAGATAGTAAGTATTTTCAAAGCACCAACTATGTACAATACTATGGATCAATAACATTTTTAAATGCATATTTTTTATAATCAAGTAGTGGATTTTCTAGATGGGGAAATAAGACATAAATACATTTTGTATCAATAGTGCTATAAGGAAACAATACAGAAGATACCACCAAATGGTAAGTAATTGATTGTCAAATGACTGATGTTAAAATTTTTTAAGTAGAGATAGAAGAAACAAACAAAATGAATACAGATTTGCCCACCTATTTGCAAGGAACCAGAGATGCGAAACATAAAGCATGTTACTCTGTTAAAGAAGTGACAGACGAAGATGGCAAGCCAGGATTCTGAGTGCTGGTTAGTGCAGCCCAGGGAAATTAGACGGGAATGAAACTGTGTGCACGTGAATCCCCTGCGGGATCTGAACTGATTCGGTAGATTTGGGGTTAAGTTCAAGATGCTGCATGTCTAAAACACTGCTGACTCTAGGTCACACTTTGAGAAATAAAAAGCAGGAGTTGGCAAACTTTTTCTCAAAGTTTGAGATCTAGATAGTGCTCTGGGCTAGCAGAGAGTACAGTATGTTGCAACTACTTCTCTAGCTGTCATGGTAATGCGAAGCAACCATGGACAAATGTGTAAATCAGCATCGTTTTATTTTTAAAATTGTATTTATGGAATCTGAAATTTGAACTATATAATATAATTTTTGATGTCACAAAATATTACTCTTCCTTTGATTTTTTTTCCAAATATTTGAAAGTGTATAAGCCATTCTTCACTCACAGCCATGTAAAAACAGGATTGCAAGCTATAAATTTGCTGAGTGAGAGGACACAAAGCTACATTTGTGCGACTGACAAGGGATTCCCTATGGTGTACATATGCCAAAAGAAACAAATCTTTCTTTCCCTTAAATCTCTATTGTATTTTTTCAAGCTTCATTTTTCTTTCTAATACTGGCTTTTACCTTTTTAGTTAATGGAGAGTAAAGACACTAATGGACATGCAAACTCCACCATTTTAGAGTGTAGCAGGCATTATTCTATCACCTGTATTAAGTAAGGCAGTACCTTCTAGAAACCACTCAGCAAATGTGAGATCAGTTGAAGTTGATCTGTTGAAGAATCCTTTGGCTTGGCTGTGGTTAAGGGAAAGTGGTTCTTAATGGGACTGATAAAGAAGGTAAAGAATTCCAATGAGGAGAAAGTACAATCGCAAAGTAAGCAAGTAGCCCCTCCAGGCTATGTAGGGAAAAAGAAGACCCTAGAACTATTTGACAGTAACAGGATTAGTATAGAAAAATGATGGTAAATAAGGCTAAGGGCCAAGGTATGTGAAAGGCCTCTGTGACAGATCTGAAATCTAAGGACTAATTTGTGTAGGAAAGGATTTCAAAAGCATTAATTTGATGACAGGATATAGAAAGAATTTAATTTACTGGGGATCAAGAGATCAATTAGGACTAAAGCCACAGTGCATCCTAATGGCTTGGGAAAGAGAACAGAAAAAGAAAAAGAGAGACTGGAAGATGGTTCTTGGCTGCGTAATTCTTCAAGTCTTTATGAAAACAAAAGTATATTTTGCCCTAATATCAAGAAATATTGCTCTTCTCAGTTGCCTCCAAAATAGTGTGGGTTGCATTGCACAGAATGCTCAGTTGGCTGATTATTTTATTTTGTTTTGTTTTTTTGGTACCGGGGATTGAACTCGGGTCCTTGCGCTTGCGCAGCAGGTGGCGAAACCACTGAGCTAAATCCCCGGCCCAGGCTGATTATTTTATGTACTTTAGTTCCCGAAATCTTATCTATCCATTTCTGAGTATCCCATATTTAATTTTTAGTCTTGTTTCCTGGGTTAATATTCTGAGTATTAGCAAACTCATTTGCTTCATTAACTTCATTTTCAAAGTAAATATAGAAAAGTACCTGTATTATGCTATTCTAGATTAAGGGAAAAATTAGGCTATGGTGCCATATTTGCACAACAGGCTGCCCAATCCAAAGAATTATATGAAAGGTTAGACTCAGAGAAAAATTGCTGTCTCAATGAAGTGCTAAATGAACTACATAGTCCCAGAGACTTCCATTCTGCTAATTGTAGGTGACACATTCCCACATATTTATTTAAAAAAAAAAAATCACATGTGGGCACTTGGAGGAAGCTCTTTCAGTGTAAAAGTGGTCAAAGGCTGTTGAGAGTTTGAGGTGCTAAGGAAAGTGAAGAGCGTGAGAAGCTCCCAGTGTTAAAACAGTCTGGCCGGCTGCTGCCTCCCCAGCCCACAGTCCTGGCTTTGTGGGAAAGGAAAAGTGCTGACCAGTAAGAACCGATTGCAGAAGTACATCTTGGAGGCCAAGGTGTCTGCTACAAAGTTTTGTAAATACCAAAAATGTGCAAGGCATTAAATCTGGTACAGGTCAGCCGATCAGAAAAGAGGATCAACAAAAATATTGCTGCTTAGGATTTTTTTTTTAACATAATGATGGTGCCCTTAAAATAGTAGATCTTTTGAGCATAATGTTTACATTACTTTTCTATTTTTCGCTAAATGTGAATAGTAGATAAAATCGAAAGAAATGTATGAGGCATTTATAATGAAACATTTTATAAGACACTGAGTTTCAGCTTCTTTTAATTTTATAACCAAAATGGTCTAAGTTTAACAAGGTTCCTCTTTTCCAAGCTGATAAAATATGCAAGATGCTTGACAAAGAAAACCTACGGGAATTGTCTAGTCATTAATTTCATGGTCTAAAAAGAAGAGTTTCCATAACATTGACACAGATCTTTTATCAAACAAATGTCTTATTTCAATAGCATCCAGCCTTTTATTTCTACTTTATTTTTTTAAACTCCACCATTTCCTCTCTTACTCTGCTGTCCTTTGACCTGCATTTGGCCTGCAGATGGTTCTGTGAGGGGAAAGAGCTACACAACACTCCCGACATTCAAATCTTCTGTGAGGGCGGGGACCTCCATACCCTGATCATAGCAGAGGCCTTTGAGGAAGACACAGGCCGCTATACCTGTCTGGCTACAAACCCCAGCGGCTCAGACACAACATCTGCAGAGGTGTTCATTGAAGGTAAGGAGGAATCCCCAGGGAAACAGAGTATCAAAAGTCCTGTAACCCAAGGACCATTATAGGGAGGATTGAGAGTATGTTTTTCCAATGCAAACAGCATGATGGTATTGTGATTCAAACCTTGTTTCACCGAAAATCTGTGAATAAATTGAATGGTTCTGACACTTAGGCACCAATCAACTGTGTCTAATGTCAACATTTGTTCCTTTTAATTTAAAATGTTTCTGCTACATTGACATGAATTTATTTAAAATACAAAATATTCAACTTAATTTTTTTTCTTTCTCAAGTAAATGAAACATGGGAACATAATTAAAATACCATTTCAACTGAAGTTAAACTTTTAAATGATTTAGGAAATCATTTGTGGGAATTTTAAGTAATTGAATATTTTTAAGTGTGCTCATTTTTATTAAACTCTAGAACTGCGCCTCTTTTTTTAAGACTCCAGTATTCTTGCTAAATGTATTATGAACTTACAATCACTAGATAGGAATAATTTCAAAAATTAATGTACTAAACACTGGAGAAAAGATATCCTCTTTAAAAAGTGGTGCTAGAAAAGCTAGCTATTCATGTGCGGAAGACTGAATCAAGACCCATGTCTTTCACCATGTACTAAATTAAAATCAACATGGATCAAAGAACTAAATTTAAAACAAAAACATTTAACCTGTTGGAAGATAAAAATTGGTAAAACTCTTGAAGTATTAGGCAAGGAATTTCTGAACAGAACCTCAGTTGCATGGAAAATAGTACCAAGAATCAACAAATGGGATCATATCAAATTAAAAAGCTTCTGCATAGCAAAAGAAATAACCAACAGAGTGAAAAGCCAACTTTCATAATGGGAAAAAAAATCGCCAGCTATTTCTCAGACAGAGAACAAAGATCAGGAATATATAAAGATTTCAATAAAATTAGACCCTCCCAAAATAAATAAAAGATCCAATTTAAAAAAATAAGCAAGTGAAATGAATAGACAGTTCATAGAAGTACAAATGGCTAGTAAATACATGAAGAAATGTTGAACATCACTGGCCATTAGAAAAACACAAATTAGAACAATACTGAGTTTCTATCTTACCCCCGAAAGAATGGCCATCATCAAAAAAATCAAATAATAACAAGTATTAGCAAGGCTGGGGAAAAAAGAACCCTTCTACAATTGTTGGTGGGAATGTAAATTAGTAGCGTCACTATGGAAATCAGCAGAGACATTCCTCAGATAACAAAAAATATAAATTCCATCTGACCCAGCTATTCCCCTTCTAGGTATTTTCTCTAAAGAGTTAAAGACATCATATTACAGTGATACATGTTTATACACTGTTTACAGCAGCAAAATTCATAATAGCTAAATCTTGGAACCACAACCCTAAGTTTACATAGAACACCTTAAAATGAAATGCTTTATTTGCTTGCAGGATTACTAGAAATGTGGTGAATTTTGGAATGTACTGCTTCTACACTACAGATATTAAATGAAATAACACTAGATTTAAGTAATATCCTATCAACTTAATTTAAATAATATCCTTTCAATTTCATTCAACCAACACTTATTTAAGTGCTACAGAGTGCAGTATAAATATGGTTAATGCACAGGCTCTGGATATCAGGGAGCTCCTAATCTAATACCAGGGATGGATACATTTTTTAAAAAATAAAATGAAACCAGAATACAGTATAAGATGATAAGCAATGTTATAATGTTATAAGTAGTGTTATAAGGTAAAAGAGAAATTATACTATATATTACAAAAATACAAAAGAACTTGAAAAGTTAGTTACAAGTTATACAAGCTATACATACTTTTCATACAATAAAAGGAAGCATTTCTCTACCTCTGAAAACAGTTTCATTATCTAATTCTGACAGACCCAAAATGCTGAGAACCCCGATCTTTAATTTTATTTAATTAAAATGTAGTTCTAAGTAGAAACTTCAGAGCTGCCATTGAAGGCAGCGGGGTGAGCTTCTCAGTATGGGAATAGTAACCTCTAGTTCTGTCCGCCATGTATGTTTCATGTTCAAGACTTCAACAGAGATGGCAGGTGTTTTCAATACTCAGTGTCCCCAAGGTACACTAAACTTACTTAGCAAACCAGCCTCAGGTTCTGAGACTGTGGATAAATTGTGTGTGAGTTTGGATAAGTTGAAGGGAAGACAAAAGAGTTGGGCATGACAAGAATAAAAAACCATTCTAATTCATAGTTTCTAAGACTTACATAAAATGTTTTAGAAAACTGGTTCTTTGACCTGGATATGGATAGTAACTTTTTAAGTGAGAAAGTTTAATGTGCTTTTATTTCTAAAAATAATTATACAAAATGAGGAGCTACATTCTTAGGCTCATGTTATGACTCAAAGTAATAAGTTTTTATACTTACTAATGTGACCACTCAGATTCAGGCATATTCCCACTGAGCTGCTTCCTCAAGCATGTTGCTATTACTACAGCAGCACAGTCACTGGGAGTCTATCAGAGGGTAGGATGTTTTCTACAGAATTTTAGATCTCAACGGAACCTTCTATAAAAGTTTAACAATTTGCCAGTTGGAAACCATCTAAATGTCACTGTCCTGTGCGCTGTTTTACAATAATACAAAAGAAATCATAGCTAGCATTCATACAGTGTTATCTAGGAGCCAAATTCTATTCTTCATTTTTATGTGGATTAGTTCACTTGACCTTACAAAATCATCTGGTTATTTAGTTAAGGAAACTGAAGTTTAGAGCAGCTGAGTAATAACCAAAATGGCAGGCATGCACATGTGTGCATACACACACACAAGGCAGTCTGACTCCTACACCTAAGCTCTTTGTAGCTATAGCATAAAATGACAGGGAGCTCATTATCACTGGGGCCACTATGACCTTTGCTTTCATCTGGTTTCACAGTTTAAGATTTGGGCACAGGATTTTCAGGGGCACATAATTGAACACTTTTGCTCCATCCTCAAGTGAATAGTGGGTGACCACAGTATGGCAGGCAGTGATTCAGCCATGAAGAGCACATCCATGAATATAGGGACTGGCATACAAGAAGAGGAGAGAGAGTGAGCCAGTAAAATCCTAAATAATTCCAAATACCAGCAAGTCTGTGAAGATGATCAGAAAAGCCACTCTGAAGAGGTAACATTTGATCTAAGACTGGAACCCTGAGAAGGAGCTGGTAGAGAAGACTGGGGAAAGGGTGCTCCAGACGCAGGAGGTGAATGCAGAAGCACTGGGTGAGGAACACCAGATGTGCTGTAGGAGCAGAAGGACATCCAGGGCAACTAGAGCATCATGGGAAGGGGGTGACCCAATGGGCCTTATGGTCACTGTTAACATTTGACCTGGATTCTAAATCAAGTTGCAAATCATGGAGGGTTTAAACTGAAAAGTCACATTATCTGATTTGAAGAGGAAAGTGTTTGTTTGCCAGTTTGCTTCTTTGTTTTGCAGTGCTGGGGCTCAAGCCCAGGGTCTCATACATGCTAGGTAAGTGCTGTACCACTGAGTGACAACCACAACCCTTCTACTTTGTATTTTAACCTGTTGCTCTGGTTTATAATTAGGGAGCCAGGTTAGAAGCCTATTGCACCAGGACAGAGGGGTATGATGGTGCTCCAGGAAGATAGGTACAAATGCGAGAGAATATTCAGAAGTAGACTCTCAAAGCCCTGTGATGGGTTAGATGTGGCAGTGACAGGAAAGGAAGCACCAGGTGTGAATACCACATGGGTTTCAGTTCTACCATTGGTGTCGATAATGTTGCCAGTCTCTGAAATGGGGAAGACTAGGGAGAAATAGAATTAAGGGACCAGAGGATTAAGTGCTCTGGCTTGAACATAAGTTTCAAATCCCTATCTGGACAGCCAAGAGGAAGCCACAAGTCAATATTCAGACATGTGAGCATAGTCTAGTGCACAGAGTAAGAAAACTTGATTTAGGCATCTGAACATAGATCATAACTAAAGCGTGAGAATATTCAGTACCGGACAGGTCAACTAAGGAGAAGGTGTAGATGGGAAAGAGAGAAGGCCCTGTCTCAGCCTGCAACAAACCCACCTGTTGAGGGATCAAGAGGAGGAGTAGTCATCAAAGAGAGTAAGAAGGAAGAGCCATGTGATCAGAGAAGGCAGCCAGAGTGGTGTTAAGGGAGGCAAGGGAAATTGTCTCAGGAGGGAGGGCTTGCTGACTGCACCCACTTCTGCTGAGAAGTCAGTCAGATGAGGGCAAGGAAGAAACCACTGGATTTAGCAACTATGGATGTTGGTGGTGACTTTAGCAAGAGGGGCCTGGGGATTTGAGAAAGAACCTGAAACCAAATGGAATGAGTTGAGAAAAGTTTGCAAAACATGGAAGAAGTAGCCGATACTAGATACTCATTGGGGAAGTTTTGCTTAACCACCAGCACAGATGTGGGCCAGTATCTGGGAGGGAATATGGGATCATGAAATATTTGTTGTGGTTTGTCTTCAGGCAGGAGTTACTAGAGCATGTTTTTATGCTGATGAAAATAGTGCAAGAAACAAAAATAGATTATGAGGGAGAGGGAATAAAATATAAAGTCTTTGAAAATGGGGAAAAAAGTGGAATCTGGCTCATATGTACTCTAGATAAAGAGGAGAGTGCTCTCAAGGACTATATGGCAATGACCCTCAATCTCTCAGTATAAGTAGGAAAGATAAACACATGACATGAATGTAGACATCTCAACTTTTCACCACTACCTCCTCCTCTGACTGTAAAATGGATTATATCATTATAGCTTCAAGAGTTTGGAAGAAGAGTGGGGTGTTGGTCTTGAAATGTGGAATAAAGGAAGCTAGATTAAACCAGACCTTGTGGTTAAGGAGGATTTAGATTTGGATCTGGTGGAGAGGTGGGCAGGGCAAGCACAAGCATCATGCCAGTTAGCAGATCCTACTTACGGGTTCTCGGTGCTCTCCATCATCAGATTAAATCAGCGCCCTTCAAGTGGCATTTGAAAGCGAGCTGTGATGTTAAATGGATAATTGTTCCTGCTGATCTCAACAGGGTAAAGCCCTGGATGCCAGGACCAGGAGATGACTCCAGTTTCAGTTGGATATCTAAGCATACATTTCCCTTAGCTAGATTTTGAGAACTTGTGAAGATATCATAAGGAACTGAAGCATACAGTTGGGGCCATTCTTCACATACTCACTTTAAAATAATTGTTCATAACATTTTATAACGAGCTTAATTTCTTGCTGTGACTTTGAGCCATTATTCAATGGCTCTGTACCTTGATGTCTCCATCTGCACATGGAGAAAATTATGTTGTTGTCAAGATTGAATGAGTTAATCCCCTGCCCAGAGTGTTGCCAGCCACAGAGTGTGGGATATAAACACTACCACAGTCATTTCAGTTTTTAAAAATGTAAAACACACAAATACAAAGAAGACATAAACAGCATGAACACATACATAATTTCACTGCCCTGTGACAATCGCTTTTTTCTTTCTTTCTTTCTTTCTTTCTTTTTCTTTCTTTCTTTCTTTCTTCCTTTCTTCCTTTTTTCTGTTTTTGATGCTGCAGATTAAACCTAGGGCTTACACACGCTAAGCACAGATTCAACCACTGGGCTACCCCAGACTGATCTTTCTAATCTTTGTCTTACATTTGTGTATTTTGCATTACATACTCTTTGGCACCCTGTTTTGTTTTTATTTATTTTTTATCTTAACCTGTTCTCTCACAAACATCTACCCATGTCGTTATCATTCCTCTCTCCTGGCCAGCAGGTGCAGGGCAGAGAGGACTGAGGGAGGGTGGAAGAATCGCCCCAGGGGAGGGGAGGGAACTTGCTGGCAGTGACAGGGGATTTGATCTGCCTTCAGCTCTAACACCCTGATACCTGAGAGGTAAGGTGACATTGAGATCTCACCAGGGCTGGACAGGTGCGCAGAAACCAGTAAATGTATTCTTATTTCAGGGACACAAACTTTTTTTGACCTTTTACCTTTCGTTCTCCAAAACTCATCTGGAGAAAGGGAGCAAGAATGACTTTTAGTTTCGACTTTGTGGTGCAGAAGATGGAACCCCGGCCTTGCACACACTTGACTAGCACTCTGCCGCTGAGCTCCATCCCCAGCCCACAAATGATGCATTTAAAAAAGGCCATCTGAGGAGATTTTTTTGAATGATTTGAATATTTGGAATCAGGTGAAAAATAGCTGTGTTCTAGCCACATGAAGCATGCTTGGGCTAGCTTCCAAAGGACTTTTACCGCCCCTCCCTTTCTCAGAAACACCTTTATGATTCCAATTAAATCAGTCCTTCTCTTACCCAGGCCTTTCTGATAACAGATGATTCCCTGGTGGTTCCTCGGGGTTCCCCTGCTCCACACCCTGTCCTCCTCACCCCGGTTAAAACTTTCTCTTTGTCCATAACAAAGTAGACAAAGAGTGGTTTGTTCTTTGCTTTGCCCTCTTTTATTTACTCCCTTTGTTAATCTTGCACAGTTAGCTCCCCCATTTATTTTCTTTACTGTAGTTTATTATTTTTATGTCTTTATTGCAGTTTATTGTCTCAATGTCAGCCCTGTGTTTCCAGATGTCTCTCACTCTCTACCTTACTTCTAGGCTGCCCTTCTGTATGTACACAGTGTACTCCCTGTCCCCAAACAAGCTTTGCAATTCCCTTGTTCCATGCATTCATTCCCAGAAGCTAAAAGCCCCTGCCCTGAGGAGGAATGAATCTAAACACCTTGTGGAATAAAGATACACAGCAGCTGGGGGTCACCGGGAGCAGGGAAAGTCACAGGCCATGGGTTCGAGACACATAAGTGCAATTCCTGGCATCACAGACTTCCAGTTATGTGACTTCAAACAAATTCCCTGACCACTTGGTTCATCAGTTTGTCTATATATTGGATCTAACTCACCTCTTAGTGAGTTTCATTATTATAATAATCAGATGATTAAAGAATCTAGCAGACTACCAGGCAAATAGTAAATACTCACAAATTGGTAGTTTCCTTTCTAAGCCCACCTCAGTTCTCAGAGGAGTAATAATTTTATAGCAGATAGGATAAATTATATGCAGGATGCAAACAAGAATACTGGGAGCTTAAAGAAGACAGCACAGAAAAATAGTTGGGCTGATCTGAAAAGATACAATATCAAGAAAAACCTGGCTAGACATATCCTAGGAGAGTAAATCATATACTACCAGTAGAAACAGATTAGAGGAGTTTTAATTTGCTGAGATTTATACATCCTTTAATTATTTAACAAGAAAAGTGTGCTCTAGGAAAATTAACCTGATATAAGGCAAAGATGGATTTGTAAGAGAGAAAAATGCGAGGAGAAAACAAGAGTCTGCTGTAGTTCAAGAGCCAGGTGAAAAAAAGCCTGTACCCAGTGGTTGCTACAGAAATAAATAGGAAGGGACAGAGCAATCACTCCAGCAAAGTTACCTAAGTGTCACTGCTTTCAACCTCAACAAAAGATAAGAAACATGTAGCGGTGGAGTCATGGAAAGAAATTCTAGACAGCCATCTAAGAGAATGAAGTGACCATATGTATTCTAAGTGTATGATGGCAGGCAAAAGCAATTACAAGAGTGTGAATTGCAAGAGATAGAATGTGAATGCATTCATTCAAATATATACATAAATATTTGTGTGTTGATGTGTTAAACTTACCTGAAGCATAGGTCAAATTGTATTTAGGAAGTTACTCACTTAACTATTATGTCATATAATTCTGTGTTAGTTATTTTTCTATAAGCAGATATTTTACAAAATAATTCAAATAACCCAAATGAAATGTATCTTAGAAACATCCAGAATATGCTTTCAAATCCACCACTTAAAATCTCTTAACACAAAAGATATAAACATTAAAATTTGAATACAGTTTACCTTTAGACTAAAAATCTGATGGGATCCTTAATTCAGGAATAGTAATGATGGAAATAAATTTGGGAGGGTATAAATCCAAAATCATAGACCCTCTTATTTAACAATGAAGCCATTGTTACCCTAGAGTCAGAAAGCATCTCCTGATTAACAAATAATGCCACACCATATGATCTCCTAAGTTAAAGTTAAAACCACGGGTGGGCTGGGGATTTAGCTCAGTGGTTTTGCCACCTGCCTTGCAAGGGCAAGGTCCTGAGTTCGATCCCTGGTACCAAAAAAAAAAAAACTATGGGTGTTGTTTGTCCACATATAAACTCATATATATTTATTGCATCATTTTAAGCCATGTGAAAGTATTGTTAAGATAGCTAAAGTGATAAAAATGAAACTAAATGATAGTAGCCATTCTTTCTGGGGTGAGGTGGAATCTCAGTGTTGTTTTAATTTGCGTGTCTTGAATGACCAGTGATGTTGAACATTTTTTCATATGTTTATTTGATATTTCTACTTCTTCATCTGAGAAATGTCTGTTAATTTCAGATGCCCATTTTTGGATTGGGTCTTTAAATTTGGGAGGTCTGATTTTTTTTTAAGTTCTTTATATATTCTAGATAGTAGACCTCTGTCTGAGGAATAGCTGGTAAAAATTTTTTCCCACATTGTGGGTTGTCTCTCACACTGTTGGTGGTTTCTCTCACTGGGCAGAAGTTTTTTAATTAGAAGAGATCCCACTTGTTGATTGTTTGTGCTAGTTCATGTGCAACTGAGGTTTTGTTCATGAAATCTTTTCCCACGCCAATGTCTTCAAGAGTTCTACCTAACTTCTCTTCCAGCTGGTTTAGTGTTTCTGTTTTAATATTTAGATCTTTAATGCATTTTGATTTTAGTTTAGTGTGTGGTGAGAGCGATAGGTCTAGTTTTAATCATGAAATCAACCAATAACAAATGCTGGCGGGGCTGTGGGGAACAAAGAACTCTGCTCCACTGCTGGTGGGAGTGCAGACTGGTGCAACCACTATGGAAATCAGTATGGAGATACCTCAAAGAACTAGGATTAGAGGTTTCATTTGACCCAGCTATTCTCCTACTGGGTATCTTCCCAGAAGAATTAAATGAATCATACCACAGTGATATATGTGGACCCATGTTCATAGTAGCACAGTTTGTAATAGCTAAAATTTGGAAACAGCCCAGGTGCCTAGCAACTGGAGACTGGATAAAGAAAATGTGTTTTTTTATAAAATGGAGCACTACTCAGCCATAAAGAATGAGAAACTAGAGACACTTATAGCTATAAGGATGCACATTGAGGTGATACTCTTAAGTGAAATAAATAGGACACACATGTGTAAATACCAAAAAGTTTCTCTACTGTGAGAAACTGAAAGTGTAAATAAGGATCAAAAGGCATAATAGATAATGTGAAATAGGAAGAAAACATCCAAAGGAGAAGGGGAAGTGAGAGGGGTTGGGGAAAGGAAAGAAGGGATGGAATTAATATGAGAAAATGAAAAACTGGAAACAAAGTCTTTGTAAATAGGGAGGGGTGGAGGCGTTGAAGGGAGGGCAGGGTAGTGGGGAAAAAATAAGAACCAAGATGTATTATGGAAACATACAAATTTCCAGTGATGAATGTCATTATATTGTATACCTAAAATATACCAATAAAATTCATTTTTAAAAATAAATTAAAATATTTTTTAAAAGAAACTAACAATAAATATGGCATCAAAAGCATGTTGACTTGAAGAAAGAGTTCTTTTAAAAAATGATTTTCTGAAGAAACATTACAATAAAAACAATTTGACCTGAACATTCTCCATTTCTTTGTATATTTAAGTCAAAAATAAGACTTTGTGTATTACTATTTTAAAATGAAGAAATTACTTCTTGAAAGGAGTGTAGATACTACTGATATATTAACTTTGTCATTATTTTTTAATGTTTTCACAGGAGCCAGTTCAACAGATTCTGAGAGTGAACATTTAGCTTTCAAATCAAAAGCTAGAGATATGCCACAGTAAGTGTCTGCAATTCTATCGAGTATCTATATGACAAAGAAGGGCAACAGGATTATTGAAGTATGAAGTCACATGTGTTATCCATCAGAGATTAAATATCTGATCCTAGGACACAATATTTAACTTACAAATTTGAACTTTAAAGTCTGCATTTCATCATGAGTGTGTAAAAACTATATCCAGTGAATGTTGGTTTCAAAGAAAACCATCTCATTGATTATGAATGTGTGAAAAGAACAGTCACATTGAGAGAAAAATAAATTGAATTATTACAAAAATGTGCATGAGGACCAAAAATATCTAATTAGGCCAGAAATGTATTTTCATTTGGACAAAATCTATATCTAGTTAAACCCTGTACCTGAAAATCACAATATTTAGTTATTCTTACAAAGATATGAATTAATAAATATCAATATCTTAATTATTTTGCAAAATAAAATCTACCAAGAGCCAGGTGTGGTGGTGCATGCCTGTAATCCCAGCACATGGGAGGCTGAAGCAGGAGGATTGCTCCAAGTTCAAGGCCATCCTGGACTACATAGTGAGTTCAGGACATCTGGAACGACAAAGCAAGACCCTGTCTCAAAAAAATCTAAATAAATAAATAAATAAATAAATAAATAAAATCTACCAGAATTGGTAGAAAACTCCATTAATATTGAGGTGTGCTAAAAATGTCTATGTGTTAATATATACATGGCAGTTATATCCATTCAAAATGCTGACCACCCTGATTTAATCATTACATATATGTATATATCAAATAATCACTGTACTACATACGTATGTATAGTTAAAATAATAGTAGAGTAATATATAAACTTTTAAAAATTATATCCATTCAGCATCAAATCTTCACAGATGCTAAAGGAACTTGATAAGATCGGGTACTTTACCATTCCTGTTTGAACATAGAGCTCAAATTCAGTAAAATCACAGAACTTGCTCGAATCTGAACAAACAGCTGGTTGGCAGTGGAGGGACTAAAACTGATTCTTTTTAATGTTTTCCTTATACCTCACTAATATTTATGCATTTAAAAAGACAAAAATTCCAAGATACTCTCAACAAAGCTAGAAACCAGGACAAAGAACAGCTGCTGGACTTAGAGTAACCAAAGCTTTGAGTAAGATACAGGAATTTAACCCTAAAGATTTTAAATATATGCTTACTTACAAAGATTGGATTTTTTCTAAGTATTTTATTTTCTCTCAAGATGGTCAGTATGAATACATTACAACCTTTAGCAATGCGTGAGTTACCTCCAGCTACTTCTCTTTTATCCATGTTTTTATTTAGCTAAATGTCTATAAATTACATTCTCCACATGTGCTAACCACAGCTATTCCTGCGGTAGATTATGAGTTCTTTTCTGAAACAAATGCAGTTGAAGTGGATTGAGTATACAAAGAGGGACCTCTTTGTAGAAATATATCAAAGAATAATACTGCTTAAAATAAAATTCTAACTGAACACTTGTGTTCCTATCTGCCAGAGCTCAAAAGAAAACAACTTCGGTCTCCTTGACAATAGGATCATCATCTCCAAAGATGGGAGTGACCACAGCCATGATTCAGCCATTATCTGTCCCTGCTCCACAGGTAACTGCGCCTCAGGCCAGAGCACACACGAGGAGCTCAGTTCATTAGCAAACTGCTCCATTTTAAGAATAAAGCTTTTATTCTAACTACCATACTCCCTTGAAATATTTTCTAGAGGAAACAGAACCAGGAGCAAGAAAAATGGTAATTTTCTTTAGTCCCTTAAACAATAATCTTTAATCAGAGGCACACCACCAATCAGTCATCTTTGCGTTTGCTTTGGGCACTTCTGTTAAAATGATATTTGTTTTAATACTAACTGTTTGATCATTCCTCCACCTATGTACTCTCTTCCATTTAGCAAATTCATTAGATCATTTTAAAAGACAGGAAAAGTCCACACACCAAACAAAATCTTTCTCATCCCTAAAAGCTAAACAGATAATAAGAAAAAAATTCAAATTCCTAGGCTTTACTCTGCTTTTTTACCCCACTTTTACTTCATCCTAAGATAGCTTTAGCCTAGAAAAAAATATATAATCTACTGAAAAGTAATTACAGCAAATTCACTTTGCAAATAACAACATGTAGTTTTTTCTTTTTAAAATAGAAAATCAGTATCCTCAAATCATTGACATGGTGATTATCTTTAAATAGAATATTTATAAAAAATGTTTTCTTCTTCTTGAAATATAAGTCTATTTCTAGCTTAGGAATACTGTATGTCTTATGAGTATCATCCTGCCTTCCATTAGCCTTCATAGTTCATGATACATGCTCTGTAATATACAGAAGATGTAAACAGCAGAGAAAAAGCATTTGGCTTCATAAACTTTAATAGAATCAGCCAGTATAAGTTACTGTAAGATGGCATTTATAGTAGGTATTTTGTTTAAACCCCTAAACTGAGTTAAATTGTAGAAATACCTCTGATCAAATCAGTGGATTTTTCTTTTCGGTGTTTATGTATTAACATAACAGTATTTCTTTAGGTGCTAAGCACTGCACTGGACATTTCATGGCAGAAAAAAATGCCATCAGCCATGTGGCAGTTAGGGTGCAGTGTCAACTTGTTCAGCTTTGGGATCTGCTTGGGAGAATGGCATACACTTCTGGGTGTTTCTGGATAGGGCATAGAGGTGTGACTTTGGATTCCATATATGGTTCCAGGCCAGTTTCCTGGCTGGCACTGTTCCTCTGTTTTGTTGCCTGGCAACCATAATTTGAGCAGTTTTGCTCCACCACACCCTTCTGCCATGTTGCTTCTCCCTTGGAACTAGATTACCATGGACTGAATCCCTTGAAACCATGAGCCAAATTAAGCCTTTCTTCTTTTAAATTGCGAATGTTGGGTGCTATGTTCCAGCAAAAAGAAAGCTAATACAAGCCCCATTCCCTAACAGCTTATAAAGTAGTCTGAGAAATAGGAAATACACACATGAAACACTTGTTGAATACGACAGAATTTATTAAAGCCTAAAAACAGAAAAACACATGTATCTATAGTTGTAAATACTATAATTATGTAAAGAGATCTAAATGGTTTTAGTTCTACAAGAACACTAAGTGTAAGGTAGTGTACCCCACTTTTAAAGTTGTGAGAATGAAGTACTCAGGGAAACGCATCACTTTAGTGTTCTAGGCAGTGTGATGGAAAGGTTAACACTGTCAGCCAGATTATCTGGGTCCCAATCCCAATTTAGCCACCTGAGGGGCCTTAAGTCAGGTAACCTCTCTGTGCCTCGTTTCTTCATCTGTAACATGAAGATGACAAAAACCATCTATCTCACGGGTTTCTCACAAAGATTCAGTGAGTTAATCTTCACATGATGCTCAAAACAATGTCTGGCACAAAGTAAATGCTATAAAAGTGTTTCTGTATTCTTTGCATATCAAAAGACAGTGAAAAATGAGACCCAGACCCTTGAATCACAAGGCAGGAAAAAGTTTTCCAGGGATAATGAATAAAGTCCGTTACCGACTAAGCATCTCTGCAGCCCTTACAACATAGTCTACTATGTCCTGTAACATATTTAGACACATTGCAACAGATTGCCATCATTTTGAGTTAAGAAGCTAATAACCATTTATATAACTGAAGAGATCCAAATTATTTGAAAATGATTGCACACAAAGCAGTAGTTTCCATTTACTACTCTTAAAATCTATGTATTTCCCTAGAAATTAATGCCATTTCACCCCTTTGTTTTGCACAACAAGAATAAAAATTATTCCTTTTTTCCTAATTGCTTGAAATCCTTTTTGAAAGAATACAGGTTAAAAATAGGATAGGTAGATGTCTGATCATTTGCTTTACCCTCCACTGCCAACAGCTTATGCTTTTGATTCAATGAATCCAGACTGTATTTTAAAATAAAATATAATGTCTGTAAGAACTTCTAAAAGGACCCCTGTGGAAGTCCCACACACAGAAATCCATTTGGTAATAGCATTTAAAAGCTTGTAGATCCCCTAGGACCCAGAGAGCTTTTACCTTGAATATCCTTTTGAACAGAGAAGAGTAGCAGATGTGAGTTGAGGAAGTGGAACAATGTCTGTGCTGTAAGAGGAGACTAGCAAATGATGTATGGCAATTCTTTCATTCACTTATTTCATTCAAGTGGAGCGATCCCAATAATGAAAGGTTTCTTTAGTCCATCTTTTCAGCAATTTATATATTTAGAAACTGATCCGTGTGTCTCTGCTTTTTCAGGTTCACAGTCCAACTTCATATCTCTGCCGACCTGATGGAACCACCGCGGCCTGCTTTCCTCCTGTTTTTACAAAGGTCTGACATCTGGAAGTCTCATTCTCAGTGTTTGCTTTGGTCCTTGAATTTCATTCACATGTGGCTTCGGGTAGCAGCCTTTAAAAATTAAAATGAACAGCTTAGTGGACTGATTATCATGGCTACCTTTGGGGCCGAGTAGACATTTGTGGAACAACTGCTAGGTGACTGTAATCTTGCAAAAGGCCTGAGTGATGTGGGATATGGGTATGGACAGGAACCTGACAGCCTAAAATCTAGTGGGAAAGCCAAGATGGGTAGAAAAAATACAGCACAGTGCAGTGTTAAAAGTCCCCCCATTATACTATGGTTTCTCTTCAGATCATATAAATCTTTTGCCATTTAAAAATCCCCCCACCCACTGGGGATTTAGCTCAGTGGCGCTGCGCCTGCCTCTCAAGCGCAGGGTCCTGAATTCTATCCCCAGTACAGAGAAAGAGAAAAAAAAAAAAAAAAAACAACCGCCCCCCCCCACCCCACAAAGAAATTGCGTGGGAGATCTAGCAAATTTTATAGAAATTCACAAGCTATTAATTTTCAGTTTTTTAAGTCAGTGATTTTTTTTGCCAGGCTTATGATTTCCATGTGACTGGTTAACTGCTCAAGTGAGAAATGATTCTGTGTAGTATTTCTTCTTTTTCTTTTCTTTTCAATTTCTTTTTTTGTTTGTTATTGTTTTTGTTTTAACAAAATATAAAATATCATTGGAAGATATTTTAAAATAACAAATAAATGGAGAAATATAGATTATTGTGGACTGAAGAACTATAAAGAAGTTATTACTTCCTGATTAATCTACATTTAATGTACATCTTGAAAAATTCAAGTAAGTTCTTCATTTCTACTTATTAGTTTGATATAGAATTTACCAACTTGATTCTAATAGCTGTGTGGAAGAAAGAATGGTAAGAAAATCCAGGGCACTTCTGAAGAAGAAAATAAGGGAATGTTAGAGAATGAGTGGGATTTGTCCTATGAGACATCAAGGCTTTCTAAAGATGAGCAATTATGCGTCAGGTTTAACACCCCTCATCTTAAATGCCCCCAAATCTAAAATGTTTTGAACACTGACATGATGTCACAAGTGGAAAATTCCACACTTGTCATCATGTGACAGATCACAGTCAAAATATAGACACACTAAAAGCAGTATAAAATTACCTTCTGGCTATGTGCATAGCTATTTGTGAAACAGAAATGAATTTCCTGTTTGGCCTGGGTCCCATCCCAAGATATCTAGCTACATAAATGCAAATATTTCACAATCCAAAATATTTCTGGTCTCAAGAATTTGGGATAAATGATACCCAGTCTGTAGTGTGATACTAGCTTGACAAATCAATGAGTAATCAGAATGAAGCCCACAAAGATACTCCACTACTTACAGAAACTTGCAGATCACTGAGGAAAGAATGAATTCTTCAGCAGAGGTGGAAAATGTTCAATTGGACACCTACCTCTCACTGTTCACAAAAATCAATTTCAGGTAAACTAAAGACAGATGTGAAAGCAAACCTATGAAACTTCTGTGAGGCGGTAGCAAAAAGCATCTTCTCTATCTTCACATAGGAAATGCTTTCTTTTTTCTCCCAAACCAGACAGAATCCAAGCTTTATTAAAGATCTTTTCATAAGCAGTTATATTGTTACCAGTGGCCACAGGCAACAAATGGCAACAACTGACAACTGTGAAGCTCCCTCCAGACAGGCTATTAAAAAAGAAAAAAAAAAAAAAAGAAGTCATCCAAAAGCCTACCAAAACTATAAGTCACTGTAATGGCCAAGGAAGTTTACCTTTGTTGCTTAGAGCAGGAAACATAGACACAGCAGTGAGTGCTCTACACTCAGGATGCAGTTAAAGAGTTTGTGCAGGCAGCTTCTCAGAGTCATCACCAGGAGTGTGTGGCCTGATGCACTGTCAAATAAGACTCAGGTCATTGCAGGAAACTAGGGCCTTTGAAGCCCATGCTGGTGACACAAGGGGAGGAGAAGAGGACAGCACATTTTGTTTCTCCTGATCAGAGAGTTACACCACAGTAGGCTGGCACATGTAAATGGTAAAGAAGGGGTCCTGAAACCATAATGTAAGCCAAATAAATCAGACACACAAGCTTAAATATCACATGGTTTCTTTTATTTGAGAAACCCAAAATATAGATAGAGAGCAAAATGAAATAGAGGTAATAGGAGCCGGGCGTGGTGATGCAGGACTGTAATTCCAGGACTTGGGAGTCTGAGGCAGGACGATCTCAAGTCTGAGCCCAACCTAGCAACTTTATGAAACCCTGTCTCAAAGTAAAAGGACAGAAAGGGCGCACACACACACACACACACACACACACACACACATCCTAAACATAAGCCCCATTTCCTGCATTGTAATCCTGCTCCTGAGACATAGATATTCTGTTAGTTATCTTTTCCTCTTTCCTGAAGAAAATTAGCTTTGAAAAGTAAAACAAAATTTTCATGTAGGTTGGTTTTAAAGAAATCACTCAATACAGAGGGACAAGAGGTCCAGCAGGCTCTTTACTGCACAGCTCTGACCATGGCACATGCGTGTCCTGCGGGGCAGCTCCCTTCCCTACTTGTGTCTGCCTCCCTCTTCTTCCCTTTCAGCAGCTCCTCTGTCTGCTTTTCAGGGTCCTTGGCTTTGGTTTTGGAAGGATAGGTTTAGAGAATAATCCTGCTGATCCCCTCTGTCACTCAAACTAACCCTGGCTTTCTCAGCCTTAGCACCTTCTTTGACTTTTCTCATGGCCATGATGATGGCAGTGGATGGCAGGTGGGCTTTGCCAGTCCCAGATGCCTCCCTCTTCCTTCACACCCTGCTGGAAAAGACTTCCAGGTTTCACAGTGGTCAGAGGCAGAGCCATGCCGACTGTGGGGATCTGGGTAGAGGGGAGCATGAGCAGCCAGGTGGGCACTTGCCCCCAGGGTTCATCTCTTCCCTTGGGTCCATGAAAGGACTCACAGTGTCAGGTGGACTTGAGGTATGACAGAGACCCCTTATATGCATCCGAAGTCACCCCATATCTCACCCAGAATGGATGGACGATCCTGACCACTAAGTGCAACCTCAAAGGTTGACTTGGTTTTCTGAGAGTTTTGTGTTTTTGTGTTTTTTCCCTGGTACCAGGGATCAAACTCAGGTCCTTGTGCTTGCCAGGCAGGCACAGTGCTACTGAGCTACCTCCCAGGCCCCTTGGGAGTTTTTTGTTATACCCCTGGAGGGACTCTTAAAGGCTTACTGTGTTTGGCCATGGCTTTTGCCAAGATTAAAAATAAAATACTGTGGAAGGAGCCATATTGTAATCCTCAAGAAACTATGGAGTTTTAATTGTTTTAGTTCCTTGGCATTACTTAGGTCTCTGGCTTTCAAACACTGAAAAAAATACATAACCTTAGGAATAAATCATTCTTCTTTGGTGTCCAAAAGTTCATGCATAAAAAATATTTGACTGCCATTTGTAACCTGTAGGAGTGGCCCCTGAACATGACTAGAAGCATGGATTAGGTCAGCCCACAAAGCTGGACCCCATAAGTGACACCATGGCACTAAGAGCCACTGAGTGAGCTCTTCTGTGTGCTGTGGATGTACCTCCAGGGGTGGAGCACTTACCCAGCATGCCCCGCATTCAATCTGTAGCACCACAAAAAACAACAACAAATAAATCATCTCTTTCCTGGACCCAATCACAAAGTAAAGAAATTCAAAACCAGATATTTTCTTCATTTAAAAAATAGGAATTAGGAAGGAATGCAGGCAGAAGTTCACTTAAAAAAACTTTGTCAGTTGCCAAAATTTTTTATCAAATGTCAAATCAGACATTTTATAATTTGCCAGCAGACATCAGAGACTTTTAGAATTTTCACAGTGCTGTAGCACAGTCACTGTAGGCCCATTTGCCATAGCATTTGTTTTCCCATTTGTTACAGGATTTGTGATTGTCTGTTGTTCCCTCAGACCATTTTAAACAACAGAGTGACAACAAAAAATCCACACACTTCCTAATGTGAATTTGTTTGCTTTTATGTTTAGATAAGTCACTTTATAGTGTTTGAATTCCATGTTCTATGTCGGGTCCAATACTGTAGCCAGAAGTTTAAATAATCAAAAAGCTTAAATAAACCCCATTGCCAGTAATTCCTAGAGGAGAAAGGTAGAGAAAAGCCATATGTCATTGACTTGGTAACATCCTGATATTTAATAGCAAGTACAAAAGCTTTACCTCCTTGCATCTATGAAGGCAAATTAATTTCTAATCTAATAGACTGTAAAATTTTATTGGTCTGGAGCTGGAGTGGAGTGAGGGGCAGCAAGGGTTGTGGTAAGGGAGGAGGAAATGAAGGTAAATGAGGCCAACGTGCAGCATGTTTTATTATTTTACAAAGACTCTCAAAATGAGAAAATACCAAAGCCCCTTAGTGTGGTAAACCTGACAAAGGAAACTAGTTGGGCAGAGGTGCCGGAGAGTACATGAGAAGCTTAGGGCAGTAGTGGCAAACCTGTGGCATGTATATTATTGTGTTTTTCTTTTACGATAAAATATATTAATGTATGGGTTGCTTGTTCTAAACCAAAACCTCACTATTTAGATTTAATTGCCGTGTTGGCACTTTGCAATAAATAAGTGAGTTTTGGGTTGCAGTTTGGACACTCAGTCCCTAAAAGGTTTGCCATCTCTGGGTTAGGGATGTGAAAACAAATGCAAGAGAAATGTCTTTCTCTTCATATGAGTTCATTTGGAGTGTAATTGTTTTAAGAAGCTTCCATCTCATTTTACTCCAAAATGTATCTAAAAGTGTCCCTTAACTGAGTACAATTGTCTTACATGTTTTACAAGTTCTTTGGCCTATTAGTCTGGTTTTTAATCTCTGTGTATGATAATTAACTTTATACAGTCTTACAAATAAATGAATCTCATGCTGGAAAAATAAAATGGGATAGAGGGAAGGGGAAAAAATATATGCCTATAAAAAGAAAAGAGTAAGGCCAGGGATTTAGTTGAGTGGCACCACACCTGCCTGGCAAGCACAGTCCTGAGTTCGATCCCAGGTACCGAGAAAAAAAAAAAGGAAGAAAGAAAAGAATAAAGGTCATTGCCATTAAGTTCCATAAATACAATTATGCCTGTGGAAATTTGTAGAGGCCATAAAGTGCTACAGGGCTTATGGTGAACCCAGGGTAAGGTAATCTCCTGACATGGAGATTATGCAAAGCTGATGATTACAGTTTTAGAGGTGTTTACCTTTGACAGAGTTGGTGGTAATTATTTTATGATATAAGTTTTGTAGGGACCCTTTTGTTTTGTTTTGTTTCTAAGGTCTAGAATTTTTACTCTCTGTTGTGAAATTCCTTAAGAACACAATCGAAGTCTGAGGGCCAGTGTTTTCCTTGAATTTCAGGAGCTGCAGAACACCGCAGCCTCTGAGGGCCAGGTTGTGGTCCTGGAGTGCCGGATCCGGGGGGCACCCCCACTGCACGTCCAGTGGTTCCGGCAAGGAATCGAAATCCAAGACTCTCCAGATTTCAGAATTCTACAGAAAAGTAAGGAGAGGTGCCCATTCTCTCAAATCTGACTGTTTTATTCGATCTGGTTTCAGGAAAGCCAAGAAGGACTGAGTCATTTAGATGAATTGATTTCTATTTTCAAAGAGGGTTAGGACTAGATAATTTACAATGTGTGAGGTACAGTCAATTAAAACTGTGGCCCCTTTTGAAACTGAAGCAAGTTCTATATTCTTTCTTTAGAGAAAAATGCACACATGCATTTCTACTCAAAGTTGGCAGATAATTTTAGTAAGTTCACAAATCCATAGCCTGTCTATGAACTACATTTATAAAAATTTTCCTACTGTAAAGTGCAAACTAGAATTCAAGCTTCTATATTTTCAGAAAAGTAAATTGACCTGCTACCACTTTGACTCTCACTTTTATATTATGGGAGTTGTCTGCAACATTTCTGCAGACATGTCTTAGACAAGGCAACAGAAGGGGAGAGATAGGTTTTTTCTTTATTAATGGAACCCTGTTCTAATACTCTGTTCTGATTATTTTTTTCTCGTGTGGCAAACAGAACCTAGATCTACGGCAGAACCTGGTAAGAATTTTATTTTTTGGAGGGGTGGGGAGTGTATCTTTGGGTTTCTATAGTTCTATGTTTCTGTTTTAAAGCCATAAGCAGAACAGTGTTTTTACAGTTCCCTTGAAGTGTAAAACCCCCTGAAAAACAAGATCTTCTTTATCATGGGGTCTACACTGCATTACATATCAACTTCTTTATTAGGAAAACATTAAGTGTCACTCAGACTAGAAGGTCAAGCTCAGTTATTTAAGGTTTTTTAAAATACATTTTTTTAATATTCCAAAAGCAAAATTCTAAGCTAATGATGAAAAAAACATTTTCCTAAGTTCCAGTAGAAAAGAGCAACGCTGCATACTTCTACTGACCCAAACTCACTAGCAACTAGATTCCTGGGCATAGAAATATGCCTTGCAGGAGAGCTACCCAAAGATGAGAGCAAAGTCGACCCCCAGGCATCTCTCATTTATGTGCCCTGATCCATAAACTTTTACTATTCTACAAGCATGGATAAAGTCATCATGCCCTCTGGTCTCTCCTAATAAACAGGTCATTTGACCTCCTCAGTGTGTCATGTGATCCAGAAGCCCTGTGGGCAGCTGTCCCCCTGCCTCCGACCTCTTATATATTTATGACTCCTCATAGATTAAAAAGATGCTTGTCTTCATTTGTATTTTCTCATCAGCAAAGCCACAGTTTCACTTTTGTCTTACCAAAGGGTAGAAAAACGAGTCATTTTCCTGTTTCTGCTGTTTGTGCTTCTGCTTCAGTGTCAAGCAGATCCTGCCAAATGTGTCTAGGGAACCATGACCTTACCCTGACCCTTCTTTGGGAACTTGAGGGTTCTCTGGGGCTTCTGTGGGTCAGATTACTACAGCCAGCCCCTGATCCTCTCATCTGAGTATCAGGTCTGTAAAAGCAGAGCATGATCCTGTTAGTAGCCAAAGTTTAAAGGATGCTAAGAAGCATCCTTAGCGAACAACTGGAATTGATCTTCTGCCTTCTGAGTTACAACTAGAGCATGTCACCCCACTCAATGTGTCAGTCACCGCATCAAATACTGCAGTCACTTTCCAGAATGTGGAAATATAACTTCATATTTTGTCTGCAATATGTCTTTGTATAAAATTGAATAATGCTGCTTCCCTGATGCATGGAACTTCTAAGACTAAATCTACTGCATGTGCTACTATCGAAATCCTGTAGAGAATTAGGGTACAGGTTTTGCATTTACTATTTTCAGAGTCATAGATAGACAATTGATGGATATGCAGACAGATATATAGAAAGGAAAGAGAAAGGAAGGAAGGGAAGGGAAGGGAAGGGAGACAAAGAAAGAAAGAAAGAAAGAAAGAAAGAAAGAAAGAAAGAAAGAAAGAAAGAAAGAAAGAAAGAAAGAAAGAGGGAGAGAGGGAGGGAAGGGAAGGAAGCAAGGAGGGAAGGAAAAGTTATGAACCAAATATCTTTTTTATCTACAAGGTATAAATTATTATGTGTAACATAGAAAACTTAAGATTTTTAATGCTTTATGTATAAATAAGACTAAAATCTTCAGCCAAAAATTCTAAAATATACTGCTACTGGAATGGAGTGAGGCTGCTTTTGTTGTTGTATTTTGTATTCTGAGCAAATTTATGGAACTCTTTCTTTTATCATGTTGTTACCCATTGTCATCATCTAGTAAGTGACAATGTTGTAGTAAATTTCTCTCATAATCTAGTTTAGAGAAATCACAAAGTAACCATTATCTGAAAATTGAAAGCATTGATTGGAAATCACAGTTTAGTTTTGGGAATGTGCATGTTTGCAATTCAAAAACACTTAGAATATACTGAGGAAGAATAAATGTGGATGAAGATGGAGAATAGAGACAACTCCTAACCCTGAACTCTCCCACCCCGACCCTCCTGCTATATACTTATTCTTTTGTTTCAGTTATGACGTGCTGTTTTGCTTCTAAATCAGAATTTTGATCATAAATTATTTAATAAAATCAGCCCTGAACAGTTCCTGGGATCACCTGATACCTAAAACTTACCTGAGTGCCTTTTGATTAAACATAGAAAAATCAAACAGAAAAACACAAATTATGGGAGAGCCTCCTCCTTTTAAACCCCATGCCCAAGAAATGTATAAAAATTTTTCCTTTACACATCTGCTAGGTTTTCTTATTTTTATTTTCCCTTTAGTTATGTTTAAACACATTTAAGAAAAGATGCCTCCATTTCCATTACAATAATAACATTGCTAAAAGCAAGTATTTTTATGCAGAAAAATATTTTAAACAAATCTTTCAATATCAGAAAAAAAATGCCATAATGAGTATATTCATTATATTGCAAACATGTACTAATAAAAAATTATAAAAAAACAATAAAACAAAAAGGCAAATATAGTCAGAAGTCATTACAAATGAAACACCATGAACTTTCCTTGACTTCTTGTAATTGTTTTGCAGTAATATTTACCACAACATGAGCAGAATTGCTCCTTTCTCTGTTACAGTGAAACTCTCAAATGCTCTCTGCTTTGGGAAATATGCAATTAGCATGTAGTGTTAAAATCCATGGCCATATTTTTAAACAAATTAAAATACATAAATGACTATTCAAGTGACTGCTTGTGTATTAATACAAATAAAACTTCAGAACAAGCAGATTTTAAAGCAGATTTGTATTTAAACAAGGTTTTAGCATGCTTAATGAAATGAGATATAATTCTTTTACTAACTGCCAGTGTTTTTCTTACATTGACCTTGAGGTTTCTGTATCAAGGGAAATATATACATTTATATCAGACTGTTTACTTTCTTTAAATGACCTGACTGATTACTACCTCTAAGGGACCACTGATGCATTCAACCAGATAGAATGAGTGTAGGAACTGGCTTCACTTGACAGCTGTTTTTTAGCCACTGTTAAGTGGAAAGGAGAAAAACAGATATGACTACAATACATCTGAAGCAAAAGATAAATTTTATAGGAGTGGGTTGGTGATGTTTTCCAAATGCTAAAACATAAATAGTCTTTGAAATTCAGGAAAACATTTAGCATTCAGATTTTATTACCCTCTCTTCCCTTCCTCTGACATGGCCACTGTTTCCTGTTTCTCTTTTTCTCTTCCCTCCACTCTCCTTCCTTATTCATGGGTAAGATGTTTCAAAGGTCTAAAAATAAAATACAAAGTCTCTACTACCTAGATATTGCCCCTTTAGGGATTAGATATATAGATAAAGAAGGAAATTGCAGTTTCCCTCCCCATGCATTTGTGCAACTGAAACAGGTTTTTCTTGTCACTGCTGTGTTGTATCTGTCTAATGTGTTTTACACTCCCCTCTCTGTCTAGACAAAGTCAGCTTGCATCACAAATCTTTTCAGACTGTTTTGTGAATTAATAGCTAGTCAACTTACTTAAGACCAACATCCGTTTGTCATAGAACCTGCTCCAGCCTTCTTCTTTGACATTCTAACTTTATACTGATTGACTCCTTCAAAGACTAGTCTGGGGTGGTGGGGACAGAGACTCTTTGACAGATGTTAATACTCAGGCTCTTACTCAGCTGTCTGGAAACAGCCACAAACTGTATTGAATTACTTCTATCGCATTGTCTAATGGCATGCAGAATTAAAACCACAAAACAGTGTCTTACTGGTTGAGGAACATGTATTTTTTTTCAGTGTGAATCTTTGCTAGCCAATGTGACCCATCCTATAACTTGTACAGTAGAGTTCATATTTGGTTTCGCGATTCAGAAGGTGAAGTAAATTATAGTTAGATGTGCTACAGTACACAGCTACAGGCAAACAGTAGTGAAGATGTTCAGTGAGATCTCAGTAGATTGTACACAGTCAAAAACTTAATGTAAGCCCTGAGTGAGGTTGATGGGTTGGACAAAAATATACAGAACAAAAGTAAGTTGCATAAAGCTGATGGCCCCCAACCTGTGTGACAAGCTACCTGGGGTGCCTCTCCACATGGTCAGGAAGGCCATCATAACTTAAAATGTTTTATATAAACACAGTGATACTGACATTTGACAGATACAACACAGTGACTAGTTTAAAATAGCTTAGAATTTCAGCACTGGGTCACTATACGTTCTTTTCTATGACATCGTATCTTTGTGAAATTGAGTTTTTGGTTGGTCTGTGATTAAAAGCGAGTAACATGAAAATCTGTGTGGACTATGAAATGAGGCTGGCTGTGTGCAATTAGACTCTAAGAGAGGGTTACCATGCCCAACAAATCCACACAGCCATCAGAAGGTAGCTGTAGTTATCTAAGAACAAAATAACAGTTTTTTCAATGCATGTGTATTTTTTTCAAACAGAACCTTACTTGTTCAGACATAAATACTTACTAATTTCTTTGGAAATGACTACCTGATAAGTGGAACTATTAGGTGTATTGGTTAGTTTAAAAGCACCATAAAAAAGTTACTGAAATACTTAGGACTTCATCTTCCAAGATATTTGATTAAGTCTCTGGGAGTAGGAAGAAAGAATCAAGGTACATCTGAGTGGGCATCCAGAAGAAAATTGAGTGGCTGAATTCTAGATGCCAAAGGTGTCTATTTCCAGAGTCCTTCCTGTACTCACCACCTAGAAGGCTGGCTTGTGAGTGTTTCCCTCCTTAGCAGAGACTGAAGGATGAGTCTCAGGAAAAGAACACCTCAGAAGAAAAAAACTGCATCAGTAAAGATTTGGGAGTTTCTCCTTCGAAGACACCACCTAGATTGTGCTACAGGGAGAGCCAAAGTTCACAAGTTTCTCTCTTGTACTCAGAGCTTCTAATCAACTTATGGCCATATCAGAAGCAGAAGTAAAAGACCTGAGGAAACCTCTAAGGTGGACAGCACAAGAGAAAACAAGAAACTCTCTGAAAGCAACTTGGAGAAAATAGACTGCAAAGAGAAAAAAATGGTAAAGAAAAAGAAGAAAAACTCCCCTCAGTCAAATAAGAAAATCAGTGATTCAAGAAGTAAACAAAAAAAGTTATCTTAAAAGTGGGGGGAGGAC